AAATCGAGAAGCATCATCCTGTTCATTTTTTCTTCTTAAGTCTTCGTTACCTTTGCCTAACTGAGAGTGTAGTGCACGTGATACCTGTAATTTTGCACGTAACAGTCATAAAAAAAGACAAAAAGAATCCCGAAATTTGATCTGTTTTGGCGAGTATTCAGCCATTTCGCTTTCCCGCTGTCTGTGCGTGCATTTTGATCGGTCAAACAAATGTCACGTGGCCCCCAGCGTACCACTCAAGGACAATCCCGCATACCCAGATTCTGAGCTGTATATACGTCTATAGAGAGGTGCGACATGAGTGTCTCAATTGTTGGAACCAAAATGGTCGTTTATACCTCAGTGCGTATGGACAATTAGCACATGATAGCTCAATACTCCACTGCACACCGTGAACTGCCATTTTGGGTTCCAAAGTCTGCAGTTGGCTCTAACTCTTCGCTTTATATAACCCTATGAAAATCTCTCTCTATGTCATAACCACTTTCCTTTTTTCTTTGATTCACAGGCCGCATCTTGGATTTCCCTGTTGTGTTGGCTCTGTCTGACGGGAATCTCCTTGGTAACCAGTTTCTGCCTCAACAGGCGCATCAGGGCTCTTGCACGGGCTCAGCACACTGCACAAGCCAAGCCAGTCGTAACTTAGAAAATTGTACAGTTCTAGGTTACAAGCGTGGTCTCACCACAGTAATGGCGGAAATAAAGTAAAAAGTCAAGTGAATAACAAAATAATGGTGAATTGTGCATTACTCAACTGTGCATTCCGTCGCGGATCGCACCGTTGTGGGATATTAAACGTGTTCTCTGCAGTCTTGTGAAATATGGAAATAGTACTTAAAATCAGAATAGGATTCTTCATACAACATTACCCTCAAATTGTACGGGCTTGTGTGATTGCCGAGAAAAGGAAAGTGGAGAACCAAAATTTCACCCCCAGGGACCGAGCGGTTGGAGCGCCAGCCCCACCGCCAAGAAATGAGACCAGGTACCCTCGCCTCAACATGTCCAATAGCTGCACACAGTACTATTGTTACCTCACACATATCCCTAGATGTCTGAAAAGAATTCCTCAGATTCCGGTGAAACAATGATCAACACAAAGGGAGGGGTTCCTATGTCTCATATCTTGCTTCATATGGAAGTCTCCCGAATGCTCTTTTCCCAGCAAGAAATGAGACCGAGGGGTACCCCCCCCAACATGTCCAATCCCTATACACATTCCAGACTATTGTTACTTAACACATCCCCCCCCCAAGATGTCTGAAAGGAATTCCCCAGATTCCTGCGAGACAATGATCAACGCAAAGCAGGGGGGGGGGGTTTCTCCGTCGCATATCTTGCTGCATATGGAACGTTCGACCGGAATGTGCTAGCCAACAGTGAGGTCATTCACCGTGGCCTGTGTCAATCATGTGCGGTACCATTGCATAATCTGCCACACGTACAGAGACTTGTATACACATTCGGGGCAAGGTTTTGCATAGCGACCACCGTCTCCTGAATGGACTGGTTCCTTTGTGCCCTTCGAATTCTTATCCACAGAGAGCAGTTTATTGTTGCAAGGCGTCTCTTATGTAATTAAGCAAAATCTTGCCCCGATTCTCGAGATATATAGCTTAGTATGGAGATTGTTATGTCCACGTGAATTTAAAGCACTCAGTATACCAGTTTCAATGTTAACTCGCAGAAGGCTTCTTCCTCCAGTCTTGGTCACGTGGACATTGGGTGGAACCGGATATACCCAGCAAGGTATGGGACGGAGGGGTACCCCTCTGAATGTCCAATCCCTGTACACACTTAAACACTATTAGTAGTTGTAGTTACCTGTAAATTTAAATACATGTAGACGCTTGCACACCAAGTCTCTGGTGTTTCCTTTCGTTGTTGGGTTGTACATATGTTGAGTTGCAAACAGAAGGGACACACAATTTAGGGAAATATCCAACACGTAGTTACATAAGAGACGCCTTGCACCAATACACTGTTTTCAATGGATAAGAAGGGCACAGATCGAGGAGCCAGTCCATTCCAGAGACGGTGGTTGCTATGCAAAAACTTGTCCCCAATCACAAGGTATAGCAACAGTATCTTCAGTCTGGAATTCAAATTAATTCTGTGCCGCAATCAGGTAACTCAGTGTATTAGATTTTATTCATTTAACGCGCAAGAGGCTTATTTCCTTGTCAGTGGATCCTTAAACATAGGCCTATACATGACGCTTTCAATTGTGTGCCTTATGTATTTTCTCTTGTTCATGTTTAGCATTGAAGTAGACTTAATTAGGACAATGTATGTAAAAGAAACTAGAATGAAATTGAAGTCTAAACCGATACTCCCAGAATGCATTTCATAAGAGAAGTAGAGTCACTCTGCTGGGAGATAGTTTCAAAAAGCAGAAGTTTCAAAATGACTTTTCGAAACTGAGANAGAATTGGCAACTATAGCGGTCTCCATCCGTCAGTGGCTCACGCGTACGGCCAGGGACTTGGATGTAGCCTTGGGCAAGGCGTTAATCATCAGCAGAACCGCTATCCAAATCAATGGTTTACATAATACACGTACGGTGGAAAAATTTAAGGCGAACAGCGACCTCACGCGGGCAACATCAGCTGAATCCAGACGAAGGCCTTGGCTCAACCGTGACCGAAAGCGTATGTTTTTCTTTATTTTGCACAAGATTTCTAACGCCAGGCTCGTATGTGAATACAAAATAAGTGTGGGCGGGCGTATGTGTGGATCGTCCAATCACTGCTCATTCCAGTGTCATCATAATATGTCACTACCTCATCAAAACATGATGCTGGCCAAGCTTGGCTAAGGTTGGACCGCGTCGTTCATTTTGTACCATACTCCATTTTTATTTGAATTCCGAACAGGTTAAACTATAAGTTTCTTAAAGTTTCTGTCCAGTCCAGAGCAGCAGGCAGCAATGTAGTGTACGTGTCAGGTTAGTGACGTCCTTCGTGAGAGTTGGATGTCAGTTTACAGTTTGTACTCCACGCTGTTTAAAGCCACGGGTAAACTCAAAACCAAGTCGAGTACAGGTCTACATGTAAAGCTAATGTTAAGCCCTGTTCTTGACCACAAATTATACCGAACTAAGACAGTTCCAGACGTCAATACCTGGGAAAATTTTAAAAAGTGGTGAATGAACAGTCCAACACTACCATGATTTCTACACCGCACCCAGTAGTAGGAAATAGAGAGTTTTGCGCCACCCCCCTTTCACCCACTCGCTTCGGGGATTTCCACTTCACTCCCCTTGACCTTTTGACCCCGGCGCACTTTTTCCATAAACAACTCGTGGCATGCACCGGCCGCTACCATTCGCATAAACAATCACTCTCAAACAAAAAAAGGGACTTCCCCTCGCTTTTCCGGCCTGAACTCGTGACCTCTACCTGAAGCGCGGCTCTGTTCAATGCAAAATACGCTATGTTTACAAAAATAACAATATATAAAAAACATGTCAAGTCAAGACGATAGAAAAAACGAGAAAAAGGTTGGGCCACATGGCATGAGTCAGTATCTACCCGTAGGTGAGTTTCAGTGGTTAAAGCTTAGACAAATTTACTACCGAATTTATTTCCAAGTTACGAGCCGAAGACATGTGTGAAGTGACTTTAGACTAACCGCAAGACCTGCACGACAAACACAACGACTTCCCGCTGGCACCTGAAAATATATCAATTCCCAATGAATGGTTTTCAAGCTACCAACAAAAATTAATTAGCAACGGAGAGCAAGTGACCCTTGTAGACAAACTCGTGGCTACTTTGGGTACTAAACAAAAATATGTGGTTCACTACCGAACTTTACAAAAATATTTAGAACTAGGATTAGAATTAATAGAGGTACACCGCGTCATGTCGTTTAAACAGTGTCCTTGGATGAAAAGCTACATCGATAAAAGTACCGAGTTGCGCAAATTGGCTAAATCTGATTTTGAGAAGGATTTTTTCAAATTGATGAATAATTCTGTTTTTTGCATGACGATAGAAAACGTGCGCTTTCGTATGGACGGTCATTTTTTGAGGGACTTACAAGACGCTGAGAAATATAAAAAAAATAACTTTTAAACCAAATTACAGATCAACCGTGCCGTTTAAAGAGTGCGACCTTTCCTTTATCGAAATGTATCGCATAAAGACCAAGCTAAATAAGCCGATCTATTGCGGAGTAAGCGTGCTCGACCTATCCAAAGCTTTAATGTACGATTTCTATTACAACGAACTAAAATCAAATTTTGGTGAAAAAGTAAATTTACTTTACACGGACACTGATTCTCTGTTAGTTCAGATTCAAACCGATGATTTAAACGGCTATTTGAGTAAAAAGCGTACATCGTTTGACTTTAGTAATTACCCGCCCGATCATCAACTTTACGATTCAAAAAATAAAAAGGTCATCGGAAAAATGAAAGACGACTTTGGTGGTCTAATAATTTCAGAGGTCATTTGTATACGCCCAAAAGTGTATTCGATCTTAACTACCGATCAAAATTTAAAGAAGGCGAAAGGGGTAACAAAAGTAGTAACTCAAAAGAACCTAACCCACGAGATGCATAAAAGCTGCCTATTTGAACAAAAGCAACATTTCAATAAACAGCAATTATTTAAATCAGATAAACATCAAATATTCACGGTGTCGCAAAATAAGTTGAGTCTGTCAACTTTAGACACAAAGCACTATATATTATCAGACGGGGTTGATACGTTAGCACTATAAATCGAGAATTAGAGGATTTAAAGCATGACCTCGAGCCAGCCAAGCAATCTGTTAAGCTGAAGCGAGCGGAGCGAGCACGATGCGAATCGTTTATTTATCACTGGGTGTACAACTCAAATTTTAAAGACAAAGAGAAAGCCCTCAATTCAGTTTTTGCACAGTTAAGACTCGGTGGTAACTCTGTATCCTCGGGTATGACTTGAAGTTCCTCTTTGACAAAACTCCTATTTGGCCCGTTTAACAGACCATATAAAGTGGGACCAGTTTTTACCCTCTTGCCTTTCACTCGTGTAGATTGACTGGTGCGTTTCTCCACTTGATAAACGTCCACAGACCAGACGGGGACTATCGCCCTTCTGACGGTGCCGCCCTCTTGCTCACCCGGGTAATATAAATACCTAACGACCACATCTGGAGGTAGTTCTCTTTGGCTCGTTCTTGGAGGTGCACTCGGTGCTTGTTTCACTCTGTTTACTTTGACGGCCTCGGCAGGAACAGCATCAATTAAATGCGTTTTTCCCTCGTTTAACGATTTTATAACTTGAGGCAAACGTTCTACCCATTCCACGTTTCGGACGCCTACGTTTAACATTTCTTAAGCGTATTGATGATTGATGACACGCTCGGCCAATGTACAGTTAAACTTTTCTACGATCTATGAACACCCGGCTCGCCCACTTGAATTTCTACCTTATTTTTTGTCATTAGCTTTTTAAACTCACCTTTAAATTCAGATCCCGAGTCTACCATTATAATTTTAGGCCAGGTCAGAGGTGATCGCTCGTAAATTTTCTTGCTCGCTTCGCTCACTTGCTCGGCCGTTTTACTGGTCAACGGTTCGGCTTCTTTATACCGCAAACCCACGTCTACTACGGTTAAAGCGTATTTAAATAAAGCCGACATGTATGGATTGGGGTCAGACAGTAAGTCAAAACCTAACCCGCAGGCCGTCGTCGTGCAATAGACCGCGAAATTAAATTGATTGGATCGGTCACCCAGCGATTGACGGCTTCGTCCGTGGCTACTCTCGGTACTTTATACGCGTGCGTTAAATTTGGAAACTCGGCTGAAAAGAAGTTGTCTTCGTTAACTACGATTGATAAATGACTAAAGTTGGCTCCCATTTATTTTATACTGCTTTTCAAGGAGGTGCCGTCGGTTAGGTCGCTTGATAAGCAGGTGGTAGGTCTTCGAACTTAACCGACTTTGTAAAATTTATTCGCCAAGTTTTTTTATAAGATTTTTTTTTAAACCGCCAATCGTTCGTTGGCCAGCGCTTCTGCTATCTCGTTTACTTGGCGTTCGAATTCTTTTTTACTGCTCGCTTCGCTCGCTTGCAATTTGGTGCTCGTATTTGACCTAATTTTTTCTTTCATTTCGTTAAACTTTTTCAGCTCGGTTAAATAAGTACAAACTCTTCCTGGGATATATCACCGTCTTCAATCGCGTGAGATACGTATTCCTCGATGGTGTTTAATTTAGCGTCTGCCAACATTCGAATTTGGTCGTATTTTTTTAGTTTTGTGGGTGAGTTTACGGTTAGCGTGCTTTAGAACCGCGTAAGCGCCAAAGGCATCGATAGCGATGCCTTCCATCTCAAGTCCGACGGGTCCGGTAACAACGCCCAAAATGGCGGCAATGCCAACGGCTACCGAGGTCGCGCCCAATGCCTCCACGCCGTACTATACGTAACAGAGTGCGGTGAGTACCCGTTTAATCTTTTTGTAGCTAGTTTCCCGCGCGTCGCGTTCTCTTTGGATTTGAGATTTAATTTCTTCAATCTTTCGAGTCTGTAAATTTTAGTTTCTGCTTGTTCGACCGAGTTTAAAGTCAAATCGGGGTAAATGTTAGTCGTCATCTTGTTATTATATACGCGTTTTAAAAATGTCTGACTCGATTAAAATTTTGCCGACATCATTCAAGAGCTCACCTCGATCGTTTTTAACAGAAAAAGTCAACTCGTCTATGTTCCTGTAGATTAACTTTTTAGGCGTTTTACACGTCACGTGTGTTGAGGTGAAAAGCTCGGTCGCAACCACATATAGCAAGTCTAAAGACTGCCCGTTATAAAAGTTTTATTTTGGGTAAGTTCAATAGCTCAGACACTTCTTTATTAGACACTTCTTCATCGGTAATGGCCAAAGTCACCCTTTTAGATTCTGAGTGAACCTTAAAAGAAACGCCCGGAATAGAGTTTAACCAAAATTCAAACCAGTCCAATGTAGTAGGTCGAGTTTGGGACTTCCCTTTGTAAATTTCATCTGAAGCTTGTCTTTGTCCCTCGAGCAGTGAAGCTGATTTGACTTTTTTATCGTCGATATCATAAGCTAAACGAGCTCGCATTTCTAATGGTTGTCTTTGGTTTAACTGATCTTCTAAAGTTGCGATTTCTTGGTTTAGCTATTCAATTTCATCAGCGATGATTCTGATTTTTTCTGCTAAACTGCCTCTTTCATTTGCTTGAATCAATCTGGTTTTAGCTGGTTTTTACTAATTCCGAATTGGAAGATACTTCCGCTCTTTCCTCTAAAGGTATTCCAGGTGGTCGTTCGCCAAGTACCCCCACGGGCCTATCGTCCAAGTTTGTATCCCACTCAATTTCAGTAGCGTTTGTTACCTTAAGATATCCAGCTTCAAACTAAATATTCTTTACTCGGGCGACCTTGTCGCCTTTGGTGTTTTAATGACATCTTTCAATTTAAACGTCTGCTCGCTATCGGTTAAGTAAAACGTGTGACTCTCCATTTTATTATATACGTTTTGAAAAATCTTGTTTAGCAATCTATACGTTTTGAAAAATCTTGTTCGGTCAATCTATAGGTCTTGTTTGGCGAGGTTTAATTCATCGAAGGCGTTTTCCCAGTGCTTATCCGAAACTTGAAATAAATCTTTTACTTTAGATTCGGTTTCCCCACTTACGTCTTGATAACATACCGCGATTAAAGCCTTCAACGGTTTACCTCTAGAGATCTTGGCGTTTAGAACTCGGTTTAACAAATATTCTATTTCACCCGCTTCGCCGCTTTCCAATTGAACGTTAAACTCTTCCAAAAAGTTTTCTCGATTTTGGTGGTGGCGGTTTTATCCAAACGTGATGCTTGTAATATCTATCTCCCGTGTCTACAGGGGTGCATGAGGAAACCCACCCAAAAATTGGACCGCAATGTTTACACGCGTATCTTTCGTCCATTTCAAGTATTTGGTGCTCACACGTAGTTTTTGTTCGTGGTGGTAGGGTTGGCCATTTAGGTAATGAGCCAGTTAGATGGTAGATTTTGCGTCTGTCATTTCTTATTAAGAGTCCATTTATTTAAGGAACGAGTGACGTGAAAACAACCTCAGTTAATCCGAGGAATAACCGAGGTTAAGTCAATCATTCAAATTTAATCGAATTTCACGGGTGACTCAGATTCAAATCCATACCCGCTAAGCGCTTGCAACACCGACTTATTTGAAATTGGCCGTCGTTTCTAATTTTCAACATTGCCGCTGGAAATGTAAGAATGTCAAAAAGTACGAAAAAAGGAACAACCAAAATTCTGTGTCGAGAACTGCACTTACAACGCACAATACCACTTAACACTTGTTTGCAGAGAGTAATGCAGCACCCCCTAGTTAGGAGAAGGACGACCCCCTCTCTTTTTTGTGAACAATTAACAGCGTGACGGCGATGGTCTCGATTAAAGACGCTTGAGCCGCAGCTCTTCAAGTCTAGCTGTGTGTTTTATATAAGCACGGACTGTACTGAATATTTTTCGATTCACTCTCGCCTGATATGAAATTGAAACCTGTTATTGAGGCATCGCCTACTTGAGAAATGGGGCTACGTAGCTGATACGGAATTATCCCTTCCAAGCACTGAAAGGCTCTTGATTATTCACTTTGACTAGAGGGAAAACACGTTTTGAAACCAGATCTTAGCTTACATAATTATCGTTCAGACAGTGCGTAAAAATGCATTGAGCTATTCCTGAAGGGAAAGTACGCTTTCGTAATATTTTCTGCTGATTTTTATTTCAAGTTCAACAGCCAGAAATTCCTGTTTCTTCTGTACAACACCGACATATAAATTAGCATGCAAATACTGAAGGCCGGAATATACAGGTTTTTTTTTCCCTAGAAAGAAAATGACGGGAAAAATGTGAAGGAAATGAAAGAGAGCAAAATCGTAATTATTCCAGACAATAATGATCAGCCGTGACCTTACGGGGTCAGGTGTTACGCCCCCTGGCAAATTCCACGTATAGGGCGTGGCATGGCCTCAACTGCACATACACGTACATGCAGTTTTGTCCTCCATAATGCACGCGCATTACATGTATTGTACTGTTTGCACTGCAGCTTGACGACGAGCAGTTCAAACGCTTGTGAGAGAATTGCTCCCGTGTTCTGGTGTAGTGACCGTGGTAGCGAGGATAAACGAGCCTGACTTCTTTCAGCCGGCCACTCCAGAGATACTACATGCCCACGATATAACCTTGTTTCATCACTGGTTTGTCGTAATACCTAAACTGAAGAGTGATGTCTGCCACAGCGACCATCGTCAACATCGTGGAGGTCGCCGTTCTGTTGGTGGCTTTCGGATGTGGTATGGCGGCATCCATAATGATCTGGGTAACTTCGGTAAGTGTTTGGCTAGCAGGAGGAATTGGTGGCATGGATTGGTAATGGTGAGTAATAAGGGGATGAGGGATGACCACTGAGGGTGGAGAGGGGCAGGAAATCATGTGACACAGCTATGATTGACGCCACAAAGACACCCACCGTCCAATTCATACAGGAAAGCAGACGTGACATCTAAGTAAATTGGCCCAAATTTAAGTGGGGTTTCATAATCCATTTCCAGTCTTCTCTGTACGAGTATCATTCTGGTGGCTCAACGTTGCACATTTTCAATTTTATCAATAAGCATTGCAGTGTAAAGATGCCAAACGGGCTGGCCATATTCTAAAATTGGCAGGGCCATATAGAGGGCAAGCTTAGCATTCGTGCAGGGGTCTCTAGCAACACTAGTTGTGAAACCCAACATTCTATTAGCCCTAGTGGCAATATACTGCACATGATTATCCCAGGTCAGCTTATTACTCAAAACGATTCACAAGTATTAATATTCTGTAACAATATCAAGACGAAGATCGTTCAGTGTACACGAGGGAACACCAGGATCTCTAGACCATGTAGTCTGCATTACCTTTGTTATGTTAATATTCAAGCACATTCTATTCTTTAGACACAGACAATGGATCTGCTCAAGGTCTTGTTTGCAGACTTTTTTCCTCCTCTGGGCAGGTTATTGGCCGATATAATAACATATCATTGGCAAACAATAAACAAGTAGATGAGGTACATGGGGGAAGATCGTAAATGAATAAATCGAACAAGACAAGGCCTAACACACTTCCGTGAGGTACACCTGACGGTGAAAATGAACCTTTGTGTAAAACTCTTTCGACTCTACCAGAAACAAAGGATTTTATCCATTGCCATACATTGCCGGGTATGTTATGCCAACATACAGAGTAGAACGTCATGAGGCATTTATACATCAAATGCTTTGGCGAAGGCAAAAGAACTGCATCGGGGGGCGAGGTTTGTCAAGAATTTTTAACCACGTGTTGGTAACATTAAGAAGCTGTGTTTAATACGCAGGACCGACCTTTGATAAATCCGTGTTGCTTTGGTAACAAGAGCAAGTAGTCACCTAGATGAGATCCGATGTCAATTGCTGCAATTGTCTCCATAATTTTACACACAACTGAAGTCAATGCGATGGGACGGTAATTTAAAATTGAACTCCTATCACCTGATTTAAGAACGGGGGTAATATTGGCTCTTTTCCACATACTAGGAAGTTCACCCTGAGGCAAAGACATACAGAACAAATCACAAAAAATGGTGAGATCATGCCAGAGCACGACTTCACTAGCCGTGGAGTAGTATCGTCTGGACCCGAGGATTTATCATTTGGCAAATTGTCAATCATTCCAACAATACTTTGATTACTGATATCAGCTGTTTTGACCGATGGAAGAGGAAAATCACATTCAGGTGGAACACCGGGTAGTTCTGTTTCAGGTGGTACAAAAACAGAATTAAAAATAATCGCCATACCTCTGAGAGATCACATCTGGTTTATACAGCAAGGGAGAGGGAGTTTCACAAATCACAATGCGGCTGAGTGTTTCAACCCTCTGTTTACAAACAGCTTGAAAAATTATCAACGTTGAATGCATCACTAACGAGTCAATTACAAATTTCATGAAAAAATAGCCAGTCCAAGCAATCAGAAATAAGGGAGGGCACACTAAATATTAGACTGTTAACATGTCAAATCATTAGAAGAGGTTAACATAATCACCGCGGTGGATGAAAAATTCAGGAAAAAGGTAATCGATGACTCGCGGTGTCGTGTTGCTGGTAGCGACGCTTCGGCTGCTAGCCTTTATCAGGCAACTGAAGTCTGGATGCTACAGAGTCCGCTATATACCGCTGGACCGCGTGCCCCCGTCGTGTATTGCGGACGCAGTACGGGTGACCTCAGCGGGCGTCGCACGCTCCGCTCTACCCAGTTCACCATCGAGAATGAGCAAGACAACAGCATCGCATTCTTGGACACCACGACGGCAGCCCGACCAACCCCGCTTATCGCAAGACTACCCACACCGACCAGTACCTGGCCTTTGACTCACACCACCCAATGTCCGTCAGGAGGGGCGTGGCCAAGTGCCTACATGACCGCGCCTCACGCCTAGTCAGCAGACCACACAGCCGCCGAGAGACGCCGAGTCACCGCTGCCCTCACGGCGAACGGGTATCCAGCGTCCTTCATCTGGCAGTCACCAAGACCCAAGACCAGCACCGAAGTGGAGCAAACGGAGTACAAGGCTTTCACCGTTCTTCCCTTTGTGGACGGTATCTCCGGACGGCTGAAGAGGATCCTGGAGGACCACGGCGTCCGCACCGTGTTCCGGTCATCCACCACCTTGAGGAACCAGCTCGTGCGTCCTAAGGATCCCATCCCACCCGGAAGACGCGGAGGAGTGGTCTACAGGATACCATGCAGTGACTGTGGCAAGGTGTACATCGGCGAAACTGGCAGACCAATCGGCGAGAGAATCAAAGAGCACGAGCGCGACGTGAGACTCTCCCGTGTGGAGTCGTCGGCGGTAGCCGAGCACACCTGGGGAGCTGGTTACCACCCCAATTGGGACGGCGTGCAGTGCGTGGACCAAGACCAGCATTGGTACACAAGACGCGTCAAGGAGGCCATCCACATCTACTTGAATGGACACAACATCAACAGGGACAGCGGCATCGACATCCCCGGGTTCTGGCTCCTCGCCATCTGCCAACACAACCACCGGAGCGCAACGGAGCCACACCGAGGACTCGCCCCCTCACGCCCGTGGAGTGGAGCGTGCGATGCCCGCTGAGGTCACCCCTACTGCGTCGGCGGGGGGCACGTGGAGGACGCGGTCCAGCGGTATATAGCGGACTCTGCAGCATCCAGACTTCAGTTGCCCTGATGAAGGCTAGCAGCACCAGCAGCCGAAACGTCGCTACCAGCAACACGACACCGCGAGTCATCGGTTATCTTTTCCTGTGTACCTCAAATCATGGAAATGTAGTCAAAAATGTTCAACCAAGGTTGAAGGTTACATATTGAAATGTTGCCATAATTGATTGGTTTAAGTTTGGTTTTCCTTCAGGTTAATGTCACCTTCTCGTGACAACCGTCTAGGTCACATGACCGATGATGACAGCGGCTCTTTGTATGTTGTTATCTGTCTCTTTTGCCGCAGATTCAGATGGACGGCTGTGTTTTCCAGGCTTCCGTCGCTCATTCGGGCCGAACACTTTACACAGTCTCATCCTCTAGCCAATTCCGTTGCCAGTTCTGTCTGGTGACGCAGCTGGTTGCTATCCTGCTGGCGCTGGTGTTCATCGCGTATCGGATCCAGGTGATCTGCCGGGGAAAACTGGAAATGTAAGAATGTCAAAAAGTACAAGAAAGGAAAAAGCAAAACTCTGTGTCGTTTAAGGACTGTACTCGCAACGCGGAGTACCAATTAATACTTGTTGCACAGAGTAATAAGGCAACACGTCGTAGTTAGGATAAGCCATAACATAGCAATGATGGGAAGATTAAAAAATGTTATCAATTTTCGGGGGAAAAAAAACCTGCCCCGAAATTAATGGAAAGATATTAAGAGCCATTTCACATAAACACCAGACATGTGTCCACGGTCATTTTTTTTCATACTTTGTAGGATGAAAGGACTTGGGGTGCAAGTAAACGAAATAGACTTTTCAAATCCATACGTAGCCCGTTGCCATGGAAACAGCTCGTTTCGTTTTTTTTGTTTTTGGCATTTTAAGCTGACTTAGGGCTCTTAAAAACTGGGTTTTAGCTCATGTTTTAAAAGTCCACCCAACCAAAGTGCAAGAATATTTCACACATTCACTTATATTGCTTTAAAGTATGAGCCTTGCCACTGCTTGAGAAAAAAATACTTTAAGTGTCACTCTTATTGCTCTTTTAATACCTTGCGTTAAAATATTTTTTAGAACTTGCAAAATTGACCTTTTCACCCAAGTCTTGCATCTCAAAATGTCAACTTACCAGGAGTCTCAGAATGATTTTTTGGGGGTTGTGATTAGGGCGAACAATGGTCTTTTCAGAAAATTTTGGGCAATTGTATCCTACTATGACAGTATTGCCTCAAATATGATCATTTTTAACAAAACAGAAAATTGCATTATGGACTTTTTCCTCAGTTTGAGGAAATGATACAGAAAAGTATACTTTTGTGATTCTAGCGCTGTTTTAGTCGGTTGATTAATGCATACATAGTAAATCTAGTATCGCACCGAGCCATAGCCCATGAGTTATAGACCTTTCTACTGTGATGCCACGATCATGCTGTACCTGTGATGTGTTGTGTTGGTAATGAGTGCATAGTGCTGTGATGGTAATCTACCTATTCAAGATAAACTAGTCAAGCATGCGCTGGTACGTGGTTGAAGCTGCCCGTAGGAATTTAATGCAATCACCGCGGCCAGGCGGTCCACACGTTATGGTATCGTTTACATTTAGCGCAATCCAGTCACATGCGTGAAAAAAAGTTTATTGAGTTCTTAGGTTGTTGGTACCACATGACTTTTGCACTGGTACACATTATGACTCCCATTGCAAGTAGACACCCAGTGCAAGAGCACTTTACAACTTGCCTCATGTACAGTAGCCCTCCCACAGTCCATTTGTCATCTGCCTGCCACTCATTGTCAACAACGTTATCCTTCAGCAAAGAAGAAACAAAATAATTCGCATAAATCTGTGGGGGAACAGTTTTATAGTGGTCAAAAGTCATGGCAAATTGTGGGCTAGGGCTCGGTTTCATTCTAGATTTACCATGCGTTCATTACTCAGCAGACATAAAACAGTGCCAGAATCACAAAAGCGTACCTTTCTGTATTATTGATCAAAGTTGAGGAGAAACCGCCTAAATACAATTTTCTGTTTTGTGAAAAATGACCATATTTGAGGCAATACTGTCACAGCAGGATACAATTACCCGAGATTTTCTCACCATATATCAAAAGACCAGTGTTGGCCCTAATCACAACCAAGAGGAAAATATTCTGAGACCCCTGACAAATTGACGTTTTGAGATGAAAAATAGGGTTAAACTATGAATCTTGTAAGTTCTTAAAATATACTTCAGTTCAAGCTGTTGAGAGAGCATTAAGGTGACACTAAGAGCGATAATTTTTTGTCTTAAGCAGAGGCAGGGATGATACGATGTAAGGAATTTGTGAATTTGTTTCGCATTTTTGTTAATTGGCATGTAAGCGTAAGCTAAAACCAGATTTCCAGTGCCCTGAGTCGACCTAAAATGTGAAAGGCCCAAAACACAAAATAAGCTGTTTCCATGCAACATGCTACACATGGATTTGAAAAGTCTATTTTGTTTACTTGCACCCCAAGCACGTACGTCCTACAAAGTATGAAAAAACCAAGGATTTTTTGACCGTGGACATATATGTCTGGTATTTACGTGAAATGACTCTTAAATGGTCCTTTACGGTCAGATTTTATTCGATGCATTTTTAAAATATTTGGTTTTGAATCTCATTTCCTGCCGATCTCCAGCCAAGCGTTCGGCCGGTTCGTTGCCACCATCGTCTTTGGTATCATGGCCGTCTTCGTCCTTGTGGAGGCGTGTCTGGTGACGGTCGGGCTGAAGACATTTTGCAATAATCTGCTGGACTTGGAAGGCTATTTTTGGCCCGATACGTGAGTATAACATCACGGCGCTTTTTTGTGTATGGCTATCTGTTTACCGTAATAGAAAAAGTGGTGGCCATAATATCTGTCATCCATCATCCACTGCATTCCCAAAGACTTGATACCAGACAGTTTTGGCCTTTTTCATGATATTGTGGTCGTTTAAAAAATAGTTTGAATAGCAGAGCACCTTAAAAGCTCTTTCATCAAGGACCTAAGAAGCACATTCTTTGGTTAACTCCTTGACTTGAAGGTAATAAGTTGCTTTATGAGGTTGTAGATTTGAATAATTTATGTGTCAATCTTTCAGCTTTCTTTTTCTTTAAACCCTGACGTGAGACAGAGTCTGGTATCCAATACGGCCACGTGCGTCATCAATTTGGATAGCGTTTTGATGCCCCATCTGGTTTTGCTGGTCAGAAGCAAAACGTGGTTCTCATCATGACCTTTTTCATCCCTCTAATATCACAGGTGTACCAGGTATCAGGAAGATGCTCATTGGAAAGATAAGGACGGTTCAGCGTTTTATTATAACCTGACTATAGCTGAGGTGAGATTCGTTCTGCGTCGCGGGCCCTTCCTGTAGTAGATGAATCAACAATGCTCAACAGTTTAAGACCTAAAAACTATGAAAGTGATCTGATATGACTTTATTTGTACTTACTGTTTTGATTTTGACTATTACATGTAAGTTGGTATTTTGCCGATTAGATTGAAAATGGTATTTATTTGATCAAATTATTAATTTGAGCACTACATGCAGTGTACAGTTACATTCAAAAATAATGAAAACAAATTTTCACTA